ATGCTTTCAAAAAGCCAAGAATTAAAACGCATATATGGGCCATGACTTGGGAATGTCTTGTTTTCCATCAAGACAAAAGGAACGACAAAGGCAGGCACGCCTGGAGTTTTAATTTAATACAAATGCATGGGATCGAGGAGTCATCGTTAGAAGCAAAATTCGAGCTTTTTTGTAAGCATACGTCCAGCAGCTTGATAGAATATGAAGGCATACGCATTGGGATAACACCACTGGGCGTAATCTTCGACAAAACCAAAAATTGGCCCAAAAAATTGGACCACTCTTGCTGCATACATCAAAAAGAAGAGGCGTTGGGATTCCACATTCAAACGATTTTTTATTGGCAGAAGAGTGCAGCTGTTACTTTGGGATTTTTTTATTACTGGCAAGTGCATAGGCTATTCACGCCTGGCTACATGCCAAGAAAAAAGGTCCAGATGGAATCTTTGGGATATTATTGACCGAATGCTTTCAAACATTGCATGTGGAGCTTTGCATGAAAAGCTGGACATATGCTTTTTCAAATTGACAACATGCTTCAACAAATGGAAAGAGGATATACAATCTTAAACAGACAAACTAGAAAAAATAAGGCACACATGGAGTGCACATGATAGAATATTTTGGAAACATGGATCATTAAAGAAAGGGACAATGCATGAGAATCATTGTAGGCATGTGCATTACTTTGGGTGCAAATGCCAAGGACCTTGGACCCCTCAATAGTGTGGGAATCTCAAGGGGACATCACATGATCACGTGCTACAGTACCGGATGGCTACAGTACTGTATGCTACAGTTACCGTATGCTACAGTAACCGTATGCTACAGTGCCGAGCTACCAAATTGGTGGAGTCTACGTGAAGTTGCTGAAAAGGGGCTATTTACGCAAATCAAATTTCACACTGGGACGCTTTGGACTGGAGATAGAACGTCGACTTGGACTCATTTGGGTTGTTTTTACAATTACAAAGTTTTAGTACGCATAATGTGATATCAATTTGAGTATTATGCTCAATTTTGATAGTACGTTACATTAGAGTGCAAAGTCTATTTCCTTTCATTGAAGGAAGACAGTGACAATTTCCTAATTGTTGTATTTTTCTTTTCTGTTATTAATAAAAAAACTAGCCCTAGGCGCTTGCCTAGCGGATGGAAAAAAAAAACAATTATAGTTATTTGTTAAATATTCATATCAGTTGAACTTAACATTTGAACAAAATTTGCATTATAAATCAAACAATCACATGTATCTTTTGGAAGTTGATTCCGAAATTAAAAATAATAAGTTACTCGTTCTTTTTAAAGCTTATTTTTGTTTTAAACATACTGCATATTAAGAAGTTAGGCACACTATTTGAAGTCATTTTTTAGTAATAGCAATAGTAACAAAATAGATCAAATATTATTAAAATTTAAACTCCGCATCTAAATAGTCAATAAAATCATATTTTGAAAATTTTAAAGAAAAAACGTATGAATTTTAATTTCTATAAGATACTATTGCTTAAATTATGTAGTATGGAAAGTACACGTTAATCGACGGTCATTTTTTACATTTTACAAATATATGCAATGACAATTTATTTACAAGTGGGATCTAGAGAGGATAGCGTGTATGTATATCTTACACCTACCTAGTGAAGGTAGAGATGTTGTTTCCAACAGACCCTCGGCTCGGAAAAGGCGAGAAGAAGAAGAAGAAAGAAAAGGAATAGGGAAGAAAAAAAGAAAGAAAAGAATAAGTAGTACTAAAAGGGAAATACGATAATTGAAATGAACTAAATAACGTGATAAGAATATTAAGGTACATGAGTGTTACTTATACTACTGGTAAGAAAGAGATAAACCTTCCTTATACCCTAGTTCTCTACCTTCACGCCCTCCTATCAAGGGTCATACCCTCAGTAATCTGAAGCAGCGCCATGTCCTACCTAATCATTTACCTCGACCTCTTCTCAAACCCGTCATGGCCAACCTCCTAACATGAGCATTGTTTGACCAAAAAGTATAATCATTGGTTCAAATAATTGAATTTATGTGATAAGGAGTTAAATCTAGTTAACAATAATATTTCTGGATGCGAGTTCCGAAAGTGTGACCAACGTTAGACAAATCTGGTAGAGATATAACATTGGTATGCAATAATTGTTCCAAATAGCGTGAGCAATAATAGAGCATTTAATAACAATGAATAGCAATAAATGACATTTGAGTAAATAGAATGAGAAATTCACCCAATAAAGGAGGAACTAGGTGGTTGTTCCTCCTGACAATGATGAGTGATAAACAAATCCTTGATTGTTCGAATTATTCTCGGATATGATGAAAAGTAAAGAATAATTCGAACAAGAATCTTGATGAAAAGGTCATGCTTGTTTCTTAGTAAGAGAGAATATTTAGCCAAAAGTTTGTTCTTACAAATAATCTCACGTGCCTCACAACATTGGCCCCTCTTTCTATTTATATGAGACATATTTATGATAAACCTTAATAGTAATGCAGAGAATATTCATTAGAATATTCCCTTTAATATCCTATTTCGAAAACTAGTCGTTACAACTTCATCAGCGATGTTCGACCCCGACCATTATCGACATCTCGACCACGTCCCTCATCGACTCTTCGGCTACGAGTATTTCTGCTTTCTGGCTCACCTCGACTAGTGATGATTCGAGATTCTTCCTTTAGAGTAATCTTATTTCGAATATTATCTGGCAGATTGTGACTCATACAAGTATTAATGTTGTTCCTCTTAACATACACGAACCATCTCAGCCTCGACTCCCCCATCTTGTCATTTACCGAGGCCACAATCTTATCTCTCCTAGTACACCCACTCATCCATCTCAACGTCATCAGCCTACCGTAGTTTGAGATCAAAGGCGCGTATCATCAAATTTAAAAATTGAATTGGGTATTACTTTGCAAACCGAAAAGCTCAAGGGCTTAAGTAAAATTTACTCTAAAGTTCAACCGCTTCCTCTGAAACGGTCGTTTGTTACTACTACCATGGGTGGATTTACTTGGGAGGGGGTGGGTCACGTGAACCCATCCTCCTCTCCCTAAACTGTGTATAGCAACAGTAAATTTCAACATAAAATACTTAAATTTGTATGGGTGAACCCACCCTCAAGTGAGCATTGTAGTGTACTGGTAGAGGAGTGCACCTTCCATTTACTAGGTTAGTAGTTTGATTCCCCACGTTTCCTCTTTTAAAATTATCCATTATTTCACTTTTTAATAATTAATAAATTGGGTACATCCCATGCTCCTAACCCACCATGTAAAGTTTTCTGCTCCTTTAGCAGAGACGATTTTTTTTCTTTTCCTCTTTTTATTACCTAATAGTAGTGCACAACTCCTTCTTTAGTCACTTTTCAAAATCCGTAAATCAAAAGCAACTCTCCAGAAAACACTCTCTAGCCTAGGGGCGGGCGTTCGGTATTTCGGTTCGGTATTTAAGCATTTCGGTTCGGTATTTCAGTATTCGATTTATCGATTGTGTATACCAAATACCGTACCAAATTATTTCGGTACGGTTCGGTATTTCTTATTTTGGTTCGGTACGGTTCGATATTTCTTATTTTGGTTCGGTACGGTTTCAGTTTAACAATCAATGAACAATCAATGCTAAGTGCTAACAGTGCACATGGACAATTGAAATTTTCACTCTAAAAGAATATGTTTTTCGATATATAACACTATAACATATTAACACTAACAGTGCACAACTGCACAACCACAATGTGCACATGGCTGAAAGCCTGAAACAAGAATAACATCTGCAGTTGCAACTTGCAAAGGCAACCTTGCACGCCAGTATACTGAACTCAATGTCAATATTGTATGTCATACAAACTGGCAAATTTGCAATGAATCTGGCATATACTGTAGTTGGCAAAAGCTGGCCAACTGCACAATGCACATTACTGATTACACAACTATATTAAACAACTTAAAGTCTTAAACACAGTTAAACACTTAACACAGTCCAACAAGTCCAACAACTTAAACACAGTTAAACAAGTTAAACACAGTCCAACAAAAACAGTCTTAACCCTTAAGTATTAACACTTAAACACAGTGCAACACTGCAACTGGCCAACTGCAAGTCTGCACAGTCTTAACACTTAAACAGTTAAACATAGTGCAACAAAAAACATAGAGAGCATCCCTCAATAAACAGTCTTGAGCAGTAGCACGGCCTCACGGGGCGTTGAGCAGTAGCACGGGGCATGATTGCACTTGAACCTAAGCTATGTGAATAGAGTGTTCAACCAAAGCTGTTATAACACGACCAAAAGTAAGCAAACTCTTATTGATTTCCCCCGCTTCTCTTGCACGAGCCTGAATTCAAACAGATATAGTTGCTGTAAGTTGGATTCGCTTTATCAGGGTTAATCCATACAAGACTTGTTACCACCATTCCAGAAGATGCATATAACCGACCGCAGCTTGTTTGGGATTAAAGCATAGTTATTATCATGTTCTTTTTTGTTTTTTTCCAGTGCTAATTTGTCATTTAGTTAACATTTATTTGAATAACCGAGTATAAGAGAAATGTAAAAGCTTTCTAATTTTGCTTTAAAGCACAAATCTGTGATGCTAATATCATACCTCTCGTGCACCTGATCGAGAAATATTTTCTGATCCTGCTAAATCAACAAGATTGAGCTTGCCACACTTAATGAGCTCCTCATCTCCAACAGTCATTTCTTTGACATGAATAGTTATGCTAAAAACAGAGTGAGAACGGCTGCAGAAGAAGAGTATCATTAACTTGTCGCTTAACATTTACTTTTTAAATCGATTAAAGCTAACAGGTCCTACCTGCTGCATTTGTTCAATAGAGTGTCTGCTGTGCGCCTCCTGGCTGCTTCTCGCTCCAGGAGGTTATAAATGTCGTTTGCACTGTACACAGCTTCTTCCTCAAGACCCCTCACTACAACACAACCTTTTCCATCCTCCATGAGAGATACATGCTTCTTTTGTCTCTCTTCTAAAGACTTTGAAGGCTCTTCTGAAGCTAGCAAGTCAGTGATTTCTTCGTTGTATAGTTCCCAAAAAGTCGCTTTCATGCTATAATCTGCATTTTAACCTTCAAGCGTATCAAAAATTTAGCGAACTGCCCTTGAAATAATACCTGCTTCAGCTGGTAATTCACCAGCCTATAACATAAGGAAAGAACAAATCTTATGGACAAGAGTAGATCAATGTGAAAGATGATATGGTGTATAGTGTGAACCAGTTAATACCTTATTCCTCATTCCTCCTTCCATTGTGTATGTTTTACCTGTACCAGTTTGCCCATATGCAAATACAGTGCAATTAAATCCGTCAAGAACTTCCTTAACAATGGGCGAAATGGCTTGATCATATACCGATCTCTGTTGTTCTTTTGGGCCAAAAACCTGGTAAATAGCATATCTTTAAGACAGCTCCTAATGCTAACATTCTTAACATGCCATCCATCCATTTAATGAACAAAATGCTACTATAAAACAAAGAATTATACCTTGTCAAAAGTGAATACTTTGTCTACTTGCTTGTTAGCTACATTTTGTAAAACAGAAACTTCTCTTTTACTTTCATTACATGTTATGGCCTTTGGAACATTTATCCTTTGCTCATCATCATTCAACGTCCTGAAACAACAACACTAAAATTTGTCAAATGAAATTTGTAGCATTTGTTTTTCTTGAAGCCAATGTGTAAGAACATCAATCAGCAACAATGCATCCAATCCTAAGCCATTGATGTCCATATTGAGGTGTGTTTTTCCACATTCAATTTTATAAGCACATAACGATAAAAAAAAAAGGCAGGTTTACAGCATATAAATCATGTCCTGAAATATGATTTCAACCAAAAGAATAGAGTCCAAGTGTCTGTTGTTAGGCAAATTTCAACCGGGGCGACTAAAAGAATAGAGTGTTCAACCAAAGAGAGCATTCTGCTATTGTTAGTTGCTCTGCTCATATGGTAAAGATCTAAAAATCAGACATAAACAAAGTAATCATATGGTAAGCCTAACACATAGTCGTGTACTCACAACTATTATTATACAAGCAAATGAATTAAACAGCATCAAGCCATGAACGTGATACAGAATACAGATGATATTTTCCTACTAAAGGGAAAAGCTCGAAACAACAGTTCATTCAATCAGCAGTACAACCAAAAGAAAGCGAAACAACAAACCTCTGAAATTGAGGAGTGAGGAATCAAATCGAGCTGGAAATCGCCTCCTATAACCCTAAATTAGTTTGATGCAGAAAATCAGAAATTAAAAAATTTATGCGAACTCTGAACTCAAAAAGTTCAAAACTTAAAAATGTAAAAACTCAAATAAAACCTCAGAGAGTAGTCGAGTACTGGGATGAGATCATGAGAATGAGACGAGACTTACAAAACTTACAAAAGTAGTGAAGTTAACCGGTGAAGATGAGATGAGACTCGAGCT